AAGTGGAAGTCATATTTTATCATCTTTAATACGCCATTTCGGATTTATTGTTAATTGGCTGGTAAAAGTAAAATAAGAATGAAAGTAAGAGGCTGCAAATGAAAAGAAAATGAGGGAAAAGCATTTTGATTTTGTTTTTGTGTAGCAGAACTGTAATCAGAGGATGTAAAAAATGTCAACGAAAACACTAACAGCCTTCAGCCCACAATCCCTAAACACGTTTTCAAAGTGTTTTCGTTGTCGGTCAGAACATGGTATAATAATCTGAGATTTGCCTATGTAAACGGGGTGATTAAAAAACGAGCTTTGATTGAGATAATATTTATATGTGAACATACTTTAAGAAGGCATTGATGGATTTTGTTGACATTTGCAAATTTGTTTTTGTGTGTTTTTGCTGCTGGTTCGTTTTACAAAAGTGAAAATAGGATTTCCTTGAAATCTGGGCATGAATCACGTAACTCTGAAACGATAGTCGTTCAAACGATACTGACAAAACGATGTTGTCAAAACACTGATTTATGCATTTGTGTTGCTGTTACGTGTTACTGTCACTGTTACGTGAAGCAAAACTGGAATCGAGTTGACGATATCGCACAAACGTTCAAACAATTTTTGATTTTTATGAAGCAAGACAATCTCGACACGATATCGTTCAGACGATTGTCGTCATACGTGATTCATGCGCTGATTGAAATCCAAAAAATCGAAATCTTGAAAGTATATGGGAAAAATTCTGGACTTCGAAAGGTTTCACAAATTCTCGGATTATAGTGCACTGGGAATGTAACAGGCTAACCTAATATTCACGCACGCCGCCAATTTATTGTCAAAAATTTCTCATGCACATGCAACTTGTATGAGATCAACCGAAATTAAACGGCGTGCGTATGAAGCTAACTCAATTTCCAATTTTTGTTCTGCGTGACATTTTGATTTGACGTGTCGCTCAATGAAATCAAATGCAAACGCATGCAAGTCAATTTCGGGTGACGCAAAAAAACAAATTCGACGGCATGCGTACCAAAACGCAAGCCGCGAATATTAGGTTAGCCTGTAATGTAAAATTTGAGAGAGCTGTCACATAAGAAATCTGTTAAATGAGCCTCGCGTGTAATCGGTTATCGAACGCACAGCACTACATACGTAGAAGTCTGTTGGTTTTTGATTTCTACGTAAAAATGGTATAGCAGTGCATGCAATGCCAAGTATGCATAAC